AAAACATACTATTAATACTATAATACTTATTTTATAATTTATTTTATTATAATTTATTATTTATTATACTTATTATATATTATACTAAAAATACTCTAATACTTATTATAATACTATTTATACAAAAAATACTATTAATAATTTAACTCTTTGAACCACGAGTTCTACTTTACAACCAAATTAAATTATTATTATTATTGTGTTTTTAAATTATGTTATTCCTTTATTAAAATAAAAATAAACTAACTTGTTGCAATTAAAAAAGAAATACAATTTCTGTTCAACATGAGTCTTTTTTTTTATTTGATACATCAAAGGGTTAATTATATTTATTTCAATATGTTAGTATTACTTATTGGTATATTTAATTTATATTATATATATTTAAATGAGAATATTAATAGTAATTGTATATTGAAAAGGTGGATTTGATAAGAATGGAATACTGAACGAACCTGTGAAGTTCCTGTGGGACCAGCGCAAAAAGCGTCTCGTTAGCCGAAGACTGTCCAGACGTGTCCCCACCGGTTAAGCTGATCACATGAAGCTGCAGCCAGAGAAATGTCGCCAGAAATACGAGGACAAGTGTCCTCAGTAGAGTACCACGACCTGATCTCACCACTCCAACCGCTGTGACCCCTGTGTCGCACAATGTCAAATTGTTGGATTATTTTTTACTTTAAAATTTGATTATTTCCTCCTTAGTTTTTTTTTATTTCTTTGATCATGTATATTGTATATACAGAGTGTTCTATTTAAATTGATCTATTTAAATATCTTCTGAAACTGTTGATGGTAGAAAATAATGTGTTGAATGGTTTAAGGGTGTACATTATCTGATATTATTGGTCATATAAAAGTCCATTTTGATTTTTTAAATGGAATCTCATATTTTATATATATATATATATAAACATTTTAATTATCTTTAAAATGATATATCACGGGATAGGGGTATGTATCACTGGAAATTTTGATGCAAGGTTAGTTAGAAATTAAATGAGATGGAAATGAAAATGTTATCAATATTACTTTGAAATTTTTTTTCTTAATATCTAAATTAAATATATATTTTTTATTAAAATAATAATAATTAATAATATTATAATAATTATATATCATATATTATATTTATTATAATTATATATTATATTATAATAATTAATAAAAATTACTTTTAATTAAGATTTATTCGTGGTATCAAAATTTTAAAAGTCATTGTTATTATAAATATCAGAAAGGTTAAAAATTATTGTCAAAGAAGAAAGAAGTTACTTGATCGAAATAAAATTGTTTTTTTTTATTTCAATAATATAAATAAATAAATAAAAAAATTTATAATTCATTATTCACTTAAATTAGATTAATAAATTTTGTCACAGACCAAAAATCAATAAAGTTTATAGATATTTTAAATTTGAACTAGTAAATTTTCATGATAAAAGGAATTTCGAATATTTCCGATAACATATTCATTTACTATCACATGTATACATCAATTTATTTTCTGATCATAATAATGGCGTAATATTTTTCCAGGTGCTGTTACGTTCTTAATAAGTGAAATCATATTCGCAATAAAGAAAGAGACACACAGTAATGAAATGCAACAAAGCATGAGTCTGACACTGAGTGTGGAGTATATAACTAGACAAAACTCATGTACAGTATGTATAGTATATACTGCTCGACCTACAATCGTTCTACAACGTAATAACGAGGGAAACGCAATGAAGTTTCTTGTCAAACCCAGTGATTTTAGTTGGATTTAACAATAATGAAAGAAAATAAGATAGATGGTAATAAACAAGAGTTTCTAACTTTTCAAAATTCTTGTGAAACGTTCAAAGAAAATTAAATGATGTAACTAAATACATTTTTCTGTAAAAAAAAATAAAAATAAAAAGAATGAAAGTGATCAGTATGGTATAATCGAATCCTAAATAAAAATTGTTCTATAATTTCACATAAAAAATAATTGAAATACATTTATTTGAAAACTGAAGTGTGATTAACTATTTTAATTTTATATTTTGATTGTTTCTAAAGTAATTATCATAATTATTGTTTTTAATAATAATTGGTTTATTAAACAAATGGAATATAAATTTATAAAATTAATAATTGATACTGTATTTTTCCAAATATTTTTAAGAGTCATTGTATATATACCATTGTATAATATAATACACTTATAACGTGCTTTTTTCAGTGTACAATACATGTATTTTCAATTCAAGTAGGAAACACATACTCATATCTATTATCTCGATTTTGGTTAACTTTAATTGGGCCAAGTTATGTAGAAAGTTTGCGAGCCCTTAAAGTAAGATAAAAAATTCATTTTACATGGTACAGCTCTTATCTCGTTTGGTTATCATTGTTTTGTAAAATATTACCAACACATGGATGAACTTTTATATTATACAATTATTATGATATCCAAGTTACTTTTACTGTTTATATCTTTTTTTATATTATGCATTATTAAATAAACAATTTTAACTTTATAAAAAAAAAATAAAATACTCAATATCTGTGATCTTTTTCCTATAAAAAATATTCTCAAACAATAAAACAATTTTTTTATTACAATACAATTATTCAAATTACTAAATAGTATAAAACATAAATAAAAGAAAACAAACTCTAATAAAAATGAAGTTATTAATGAAATATTTTGTTTGTAATTAAAATTTGTGAATTAAATTTATTATTTAATTTCCGAGAGATAATTAAGGGTCCGAAGGTAACTTTCTGTATAACTTGTGTATGTGTGATATTATGTGATGTGAGTGTTATCCAATAAAAGATCTCATTAATCTATTGTTTGAATTCTCCTGATAAACTATTAGTGAAACAATGTTCTCATAATTACGAGCCGATAAACAATAATAGTACGTGCGTTTAATAATTCAAATATAAACTTTGTACCGTACAATTTGCGTTTTAAATTATAGCAGTAACAGTAAACAAATATTAACATGTATTTATATAAAATAATATTATTGAATAATATAATAACAAAAATTAATATAAATATTCATAAATATATATTAATATATAGAATACATATTAATGTTACTTTATTTTGATATTAAATTAAATAAAATTTGTATTTTATTAATATATGTAATAATTTGTATTAAATAGTTGATATTAAATATTACATATTGATCGATATTTTATTTTATAATCAACAAAATTAAATATAATTATTAAAATTTGTAAATTAAATCGAACGATATTAAAAATGAGAACAATGTTTCGATATATATATTTTCTTCTTTTTAATTGATTCCATTTAATTGAATTTGATTTAATAAGATTTAAATTAATTTTACATTTGATTTTAATTAACGTATTTCATTTTTTGTCATATATTCGTGACCCCCTCATTAGTTTCTAGTGAAATTATCGAAGAAGAAAGTGCACTCGATTAAAGAGTTTCATGGAAAGAACAACGACATGCTTCGAAGTATTGGAGTGTATATATGTTTATATATGTATGTGCTTATGTATATATATGTATATGCATATGTATATGTATATATGTATAGTTATAGAAGACGGGAATCGATAGTCTTTCGTTGGCATTCCGTATGCGGTAAAATGGACGAATACATTTTTCTATTTGGATTGGTTAAATGTTTAAAATAATATACATGTATATATATATATATATATATATATATATATATATATATATATATATATATATATATATATATATATGTTACCATTAATTCATGAAATAAACATGTAAACAATGAAATAACTATATAAATTTGTTAAAGTATAAAAGAAGGGTGAATTACATATTTTAACTAGGTAATATAATTAATTAACGAGAAGTGAGTGTGTTAAAGTATGAAATTGAAATTAAATATGATAGAAACAGTATGATTAACAACATTGGTTTTCAAAATACAAGAGGAAATAAAAATGAACAACTATCAGCATTTTTATAGAAAAAAAGAAGCAGATTTTTAGAATACATTAAATATCAATCTAATATTTTAATTATTTGTCTTTTGTGAGTTTATATTTTATTTATTATTAATTATTTGCTAAAACAATTAGTTTAGGTGTATAATAAGATGCTTTTCCTATAAGACATTTAGTTATTTCGTGTAAGATATAAGTTATTTGTGAATTAACTGATTTATAACACTTTAACAGTAATATATATATGTATAGGTGAACAAAAAAAAACATAAAGAATATATATTCAGAATATCACCTGTAAATTTGTGGTACAAGCAAGAGTAGAGGATGATTTTACATGAAAAATTAAATTGTAATTAAAAAATATAGAATACAATTTAATTCATTGAATAATTTGAATATTTGTGGGACAATGATGCAAATCTAATGAATATTTAACGAAACACCGATGATAATGTGCATACTTAATGTAGGTATAATTTGCATAATATTGTTTATACGTAATATCATATACATTTACGTATAATATTGAGGTGGCTTTTTTTCTCGGACAAATGGAATTTCCAAAATGAATTTTGCAATAAAGTACAATTGGTGAAAATCAACATCGAACATTTAATAAAAATATTTATACAATGTTATCGAAATTTGTTTTACCTCCCACAGATTTTTTTCCGCGTATCGTTTTTGAGTATTTCTGCTTAGAATAAGTTTGTTGTTTTCCTAAAAGAAAACAAAAGTTTACAATAATTGTTATCCTCTTGTTTACTTTCCTTTTAAAATAATTACTTAAATACTATCTATAAAAAAAAAAAAACAAGAAAAAAAATAGTACATAATATATCAGTATAATTTGTTTAAAAAAAAAAAGTATATCATTTATTGTAGTTTATTTTTGTTCTACTTTAATGCTAAGCAATGATTTTTTTTTTAAAGAAAAAGAAAGAAGAACAAACCTAAACAATTTAATCATTTATTTTTTGCAAATAATCTGTATTAAATAATAATAATAGTAATAATTTTGTGTTATGATTTGTTTTAATAATAATAAGTTTAATATTAAATAAAATATATAAATATATATATATATATATATATATATATATTAAATAAAAAATGTATAATATATTATTATATTTTTTTATTTTATTATATTTTTATATTTTATTATTATATTTTATATTATATATATAATAAATTTATTAAAAAATATATAATTATTATATATTAATTATATATTATAAAATAAAATATTTATTCTGTATTTAATATTTAAATAATATAACTTTTTCATATAGGAGAGGAAGAAGGAAGGAGAGGAAGAAGGAAGGAGAGGAAGAAGGAAGGAAAGGAAGAAGGAAGGAGAGGAAGAAGGAAGGAGAGGA